CATTTCAATGTTGAAGTGCCCTGGAGTTCAAGCTGTGGTCCTCTTCTCTTGTCTACACTCACTCTCCTCTGGTAATCTCATCCTGGCTTTAAATATCATCTTAATGCTGATGACTCTTAAATGTATATCCTCTAAAGTTCACACCTGTACATCCACATATCTTCGACTGTACATCCAACACATCTCTCAAACTCAACATGTCTAAGATCCACACACTCTTTTGCACTCAAGTTGGCTTCATTCACGACCTAATCTCAGCTGAACAGAAATCTATCCTTCCAGTTATTCAAACCAACATTTTAAAGCGTTAATTTGACTCCTATCTTTCTTTAACATCCTCCATCCAATTCATGACTCTACCTTTTTTCTATTGACTCCACTTTTAAAATAAATCCTGAATCTACCACTTGCACTACCACCACCTAGATCTGAAGCACAATCATCTCTCACCTAGATTACAACAGCCTCTTAACAAGTCTCCTTATTTCCATCCTTATAATAGCTGTACAGTCTATTTTTTTTAAATAGCTCTACAGTCTATTTTTAAAAAATTTTTCTTTAAAAAAACATTATCCAGGACAATAAGAAAGTTTTAAAATACTCATTAAAAGAAATGCAATCAACAAAATGTTTGTTGATGGTCTACTATGTGCCCGTCAGACTGATACCTTAAATAGACTTGACGCTTGAACAATACAGGGGCTGGGGGTACCAACCTCCATACAGTCAAAAAAAAAAAAAACCCCATGTGACTTCTGACTCCCTGAAAACTTAACTACAAACAGTCTACTGTTGACTGGAAGCCTTACTATAACATAGTCTATTAGCACATATTTTGTATATGTATCATATACTGTCTTCTCATAGTAAAAGCTAGAGAAAAGAAAATTTTAAGAAAATCCTAAGAAAATACATTCACAGAACTGTACTGTATTATGGATGCTTTAAGTTTTACACAATCTGTTTACAAGATTAATGGTCTGTCCAAAATGGAGGCAACCCAACAGATGCAGACCTCAATCTGCAATTTAAGCAATTTAACTTTTCCTTATAATGTTAAAAATTTTCTCTGCTGCTTAAGAGCTCTTCCAGCATCACTGGTGACACTTTATACGGCTCCCATGGAGTTATTCAAGGCTTACAGTTCTGCACTAAACATGATGAAAAACAATATGCCAGAACTGCCAGAGATCACTTTGTATTGCGATTCACATTTTACTGGAGAACTGCTCACGTGGAGATGATTAGCGTCATACAGCATTTTAAGTGGATATCCCAAACACTTGAGTTTACCAGAATAGCCAGAAGGATGGTAAGAAATTATTACTGCAGTAAAGTATGTACTACAGCTAATTTTAAGCAGTTATGATTTAATACTGCATTTTTACGTTTGTTTACATTTCTCTCTCCCGAAAATAGCACCTTGTAAGGTCTGTTTGTATGCATGTTTTGACAAATTTTAACTTTTGATAATAGATTTGTGTGAATTTTATGGTAGTAAATGATAAAATGTAGTATCTATGTATATTTTATGCATTCATGATGTAACCTTTTCTTGATTTTTTTTCTATATTTCTAGGCTACATAGTTCATCTGTGAGTTTTTTCAAATTGTTACAAATTTCTAAAATTTTTTTCAGTATATCTACTAAAAAAAAAAAAAAAACCTATGTGTAAATAAACCTACACAGTTCAAACTCATGTTGTTCAACAGTCAACTGTACATGTCAGATCATGTCAGACCTCTTTCCAAAATCCTGCAACATTTCATTTTGCTTAAGGTTAAAATCAAAGTCTGTATGATGACCTCAACAGACTCACTACCTCTCTGATCTTAACTACAACTATTCTCCTCCCTTCAAGCATGCCAGTCATATTGGCCTTCTCACTATTCCACAAACACCAAAGTACATGCTTGCCTTTGCATTGGCTATTCTTGCTACCTAGAAGCTCTTCCCTGAGCTGTCTCAAGGAAGACAGCCTTGTTCTCCTTCTCACTTCCTCAAGGCTTTGTAAACTTTTAAGCTGCTTAATGAGACCTACTAGCCAAACCTTACACAATTCTGACAATGCTCTCTTTCCTGCTCTCCACATAGCACTCAATTCACCTTATCTTGAACTATTTTTTTTCTTTTCTATATTGCAGTTATCACTTTCTGTCATACTACATCATTTGCTATTGTTCGCTTTCCTGTTTAAAACACAATATACATCCAAAAGATATCCTTTAAAAACATAAACTCCATGACGGCAGGGATTACTGTTTTATTTAACGAGGTATCCCAAGTACCAAGAATAATGCATGCCATACAGTGAATGCACAATACATATTTATTGAATTAATTTCATTCTTTATAATAATGATCATGTGTGTTAGGTGTTACATGTTATCATCCCTATTTTACAGATGGAGAAGCTGTTAAGATGGGAGACAGACAGGACTAAGATTTTATCCAACATCATCACATTATTACCAAGTTGCAGAGATGGAACTCAAACTATATCTTTTAATTCCTCAAATAATACAATAGTAGTAAATAATTTAATGAATCATTTCAAAAAATAAACTCCAGAATATGTGACATTTATTTTAATATTGAGTACTACTATTTAATGCTTACTACATCCTTACATAAAAGGTCTTTTATTTAAAATAAGCTGTTCAGCCAGACACGGTGGTTCACACCTGTAATCCAGCACTTTGGGAGGCCAAGGCAGGTGGATCTCTTGAGGCCAGGAATTTCAAACCAATCTGGCCAACATGGTTAAACGCTATCTCTATTAAAAATATATAAACTAGTCAGGTGTGGTGGCGCATGCCTGTAAGCCCAGCTACTTGGGAGGCTGAGTCATGAGAATCGCTTGAACACAGGAGGTGGGGGTTGCAGTGAGCAGAGATCCCACCACTGCACTCGAGCTGGGGCAACAGAGCAAGACTCTGTCTAAATAAATAAACAAAGCTGTTTAATGACACTGGTTTTGCTTTTTATTTAAAAATATTTACTTTATTCCTAGTGTTTGGTAAGTTGAACTGTACCTTGACAGGGCAGAAAAACCACAAACTCTAAGAATGGCCTTAGGAATCCGTGTTCAAGAGAAATCACTCTGAGAAGTCCCAAATACTAAAGTAATTTTAAAAACGGTTTGATAGAAACAATGATAGGGAGCTCCTCTTGCCCTCCTACTACACAATAAGAGCATCCTTGAGGGATGCTAAGGTACCATAAGGTGCTATAGAACCAACTCTAAAAACTTGTCTAACTGCCTCTTCCCCAATAACCCCTGTATCACCAAAATCATCCTGGGCGTTTTACAGAACCAACAGAGTAGAAATGATTTGCGCAAGACTACAAAATTAGAAAGTGGCTAAACTGAGGCCTTCTCTGTTTTCCACTATTTTGACTACAGACGAATTTTTTCAAAAATTGAGTGATCTTTCTAAATGTGCAAAACAGTTTACCTGCATAATAAGGCACGCAAAGAGAAGAAAAAAAAAACAACTGAAGCTTGGAGTAGGGACACGTCTGCCCCTGTAATTGCTCCTACTGATGTTACTGCTCCTCAGAGGAGAGAAACAAAGCTGAGCTTTCTTACTTTGCCTGTAATATTGGTTCTATGGTAAGACTTAAGTAAATTCTGTCTAGGACTAATAGTGCAGCAAAGAGAAGCATCAAAGATACAACTGAAATTATATTTATTTCTAGATAACATTATTGATTAAAAACTGCCCTTAAAATAGGGCATAAATGTTTGTATGCAACTTTACTAAAATCATGTTCTTAATCTGAAACAGAAACACAGGCAATGCAATTAAATAAATGAACAAACTACTATTTTCTCCACTTGACAGAACAGGAAACATTAAATGACTTGGTAAAGGTCACACAGTAAATGAGAGTGTCAAAATATTGTCTAATGTTCTTTTTTCCTTATTTTTAAATATTGTCTAATGTTCTAATTCTAACCTACTAGAATTTAAACTCTCGAAGGGCAGACATTGCCTCTCCTGGGTTCACTGCCAGTACCATAGCACGGCATCATGCACATCACTGGGGTTAATACTAATATCAGTATACATGCTCCAAATAAGTATTATGAGAGTTAACTGCATTTGACAAAGAAGCCAAATAAATAATAAATGGATGGTAGCTCTGTTTCCTATCACAAACAAGGCTAACTTGTAATGAGGAACTGCAGCAGACTCTATTTATAAACTGTAAGTGCTTTCCTTTCAGAATAATGAAATCTTTGAAGAAAAACAGCCACCCATTTCTAACTGTTACATGGTAGAATTAATCAATCTACCATTATTTTTTTCTTAGCAGACTATAAGATAGTATTCTAGGATATCTGGTCAATAATATAACCAAGTTAATGATTAGTCTACCCTTCTATATAAATGTTAATTATGATGACTATACTCATTGTCTAGGCTAAGATACTGTTGAAAATAAAAGGGTGCTATTAATATTTATTCACAGGAATAATGGCAACAGTCTTAGGTAAACCAGAACCTATGAGTCACCTTAGTTCAAAGTAAAAGTATTCTCCTTTTCTTCTTTCTTATGGCACTTGCAAGAGATCCCCTGCATATCTTGGCCTACATTTCTCGTTTCTTGCCTAAACTTCATGAGAAAGTGATGTTAGAAATAGAGACAAATTACTAAATAAATTCTATGTGCATGTGCCTCATCTGAATATAGATAGCAATTTTCAGATAGAGCCCATATTAGGATTTCAAAAGCAGTTGATTATAAAAATGACTTGCAACAATAAAAGCTCAACCATGAGACACATCAATAACACAGACTTATCTTGTCAATTTTTAAGATGACTACTTCCAATTTAACCTCCTTTCCATTACTTACGAAGAACTGCAGCAGTCACCATCCCATAGTCCAGCTTTTCAATCACTGACTTTTATATTCCTTATCACAAATCTGAGGGACTCTACAGAAAAAGTTGAAGCCTTCTCCCACCAGCAATCAAAACCATACACACCTCTGTCAGCTGCTTCAGTTGGTCTTTGTTTGCACTTAATTCTTCTGCTAGGATGTTCCTTTTCACTTGCAGTTCACAGATTTCCTTTTTTAATGGATTCACTAGTTCATAGAACCGAACCTTGAAAAAGAAATTAAATTAATAAGCAATCTTAAATCCAAATTAATGAAAACTGGCTAATTTGTAGTGCTCTCATTTATCAATAACGAAGAGAAATATTTACAAAACTAAAACAAGACAGACATTAATGAACCCTAGCCACTAATACTTTATACCAAGCCTTAATGTTCAATTAACTTCCCTCAAGTCATCATTAAAATCCGATGACTTATAACTTCCTACCTTTGACAGTCTCTCCTCCCTTCTACTGACACTCCATTACTACTCATCTACTACTGCTCACTCCACACTATCTGCTTGTAAACTTCTGGAACATATCACAAATGTTCAGGAATCGTGCTCTTGCTGTTTCCTCTGCTAGAGAAGTTCTTCCTCCATATAAATGCATGTCTCCCTGTAGGTCTCTGACCAAATATCACCTTACTAGTAAAGCCTTCCCTGATTCCCCTACCTAATTTAAAGTAGCACTCTCTATTTTTTACCCCTGCTCTTTTCTCTACAGCGCCTTTGACAAACAGATAGTCTACATTATTTAACTTTTAAGTTATCGGCTATGTTGCTCCATTTCAACACAAGCTCCATGAGGGCAGGGATCTTTGTCTGGTTTATACACTGCTCTCTCTCCAATGCCTGAATATATAATAAGTACTCAATTAATACTTGATGAAGAGGTAAAGTCTATTCTTTATTTTCATCCCAGGCTTTTAGCATAGCTTTACTTACTGCTGCCCCTGTAGTGGAAGTCTAACTAGAATGAATCAAGAGGCATCTTTCATGTCACTACTTCCATTTAGTTTAGGTCTCTCTTTCCACTCATACTTCTCTTTGAGGAATTTTCCTATCCTACCTCAGTAAAGTGTTCCATCTGACAAGGTCCTATAAAACTAAGATATCATCAGCAAATTAGTAATTAGGGGATATTTATTATATGGGCATGCAATCTGAAACTCCTTAATATATGACTGTATTACAAGAATACCATTATTTGGTAGGAGGCAAATCTTAATATTAGTCCTCAATAACATGAATCTGCATATAATTAATTAGTTAAGGATAATACTGTCTGTGACAACAAAAGGTATAAGAAGGAATATTAACCAAACAGCAAAAATATGTGTAACTGCCCCCAGTAGGATAGTTTATATGTACTGTACATGAAGCCTCAAAAACAACTTATTTGTTTTGGATAGTACACTTTGGGCAGAAAAACTGTATTTGAGCCATTTTTTTTTTTAAAAAAACAGCTGATCAAAAAGTAACTTCATTTTATCAGACATCAATAATCTGGAAATCTTTTCCCAATGAGAACCAAGAATAGCAACCACCACTCTAGCAAAAACAACAGGTAACAATTTTATGAGTTTACTATCTTCTAAGCACTATGCTCATAAGTATTTTATATACATAGTCATAGTTAATATTTACAATTAGCGCCAACTGAAAGACACTGTTATTAACCCTTTTTACAGATGAAAAAATTCAAGCCTCTTAGGGTAAAATGACATCTATATATTAAAAATCAGCACTTCTCAACATATGGTTTTAGGATCTCAACTCTGACCTGCTCGCCACTCTGAGATCCTTTCAGGGAATACACAAGATCAAAATGACTTTCCTAGTAATGACTAAGATTTTTTTCCCCCTGTTTCATTCTCATTCTCTCATGACTCTTCAGTGGAATTTGCCAGCGGCTACATGATGTATGATGACAATATCACTCTTAAGGCCAATGGAATTGTGTGCTTACATATTCTTGTGTTTAAAAAATTTCTTAAAATTGCTAGTACAGTAAATTTGATAGATATAGCCCATATAAACAAACACTCATTGGGGTTCTCAATAATTTTTAGAGTGTAAATGAATGCTGACACCAAAATACTTGAGACCACTGCCATAGATTAATCCTAGCTGTTCTAGATTTGTGTAACCAGAGCTGCAATCAAGATCCTGAGCTCATCTGTCACCACAAAGTTCTTTCTCATCCTATCCCTTTATAATCTCACCAGCTCCTCTCTCCCACTATCCCTAGCCAACCCCTGGCAACAACTAATCTGTTGTTCATAATTTTTCATTTTGAGAATGTAAGAAACCACCAGTTTATGATGATTCATTTATATGGACTATGTAGTTATTAACTTCAGAAACTTATGTATTGCTTGACTTTGGAGATCAATGGTCATGACCCTTTAAAATTTGGATCGAAGCATCATTCACCACCCATGGCCATAAAATAATGTATCAATTTGGTACTACAAAAGTAATGGCTACTATATAAATATTAAATTTTAGTCTAAAAATATATGTAGTATTTAAAAAGGGATATAAGATACTTACAGATACATATTCAGGAATAGAAAGCTGATCTTCAGGAAAAGCTTTTAATTTAGTATACTGCTCTTCTGTCAACTCAAAGTCACGCAGGTTTCGACGAACATCTCCAGCTTTTTCTCTTAGCTGAAGATTAGTCTCTTCTAGTTGTTTCTGTCTCAATAAAATGGTTTCCATTTCTTGTTTCATTAATTCTTGATATTTGCTACATTAGGAGAGAATTTATGGGAGGCCTTAAAAAAGTTTTCGATATTTAATTTTCTCATAGTTTCCTATTTATAGCAACATAAAGTTCTCAAAGCCTGATAGTATTTTTGGATCCACCTAAATGCTTATTTACTAACTCCAGCTAAATGCTTACTTACTCATATTAACCAGTTAAATATGAAACAACAATTCCATACTAATTATTAAATGTGTAGCCATATAAACTATTAAACAGAGATTTGATATTCTTAAAAAATTATTTCAGAAATTCAAATTATAAAATTATATATTTCTTCTGCTTAAGGTTTATTGTTAAACATCAAGGACTCTACTTACCAAGTAATTTTCATTTCCCTTTTATCCTGACACTTCAAGGATATCTCTTTAAGATGGTAAGAATGAACCACCATAAAGTATTCACTCAACCAATGAGGTAATGAAAACAGTAATCTGCACATACTCACCATTCTCAAAGAATACATGTAGCAGACATTATTCTTAGTTGCCTAATGAAAGATTCTGATCAAGAAGGGACAATCTGATGTTATTAGTCTGTTCTCATCCTGCTAAAAAGACATACCCAAGACTAGATAATTTATAAAGGAAAGAGGTTTAATGGACTCACAGTTCCACATGTGGGGGGAGGCCTCACGATCATGGCAGAAGGCAAAGGAGAAGCAAAGGCAGTCTTACATACTGGCAGACAAGAGGGCTTGTGCAGAGGAGCTCCTATTTATGAAACCACCAGACCTTGTGAGACTTATTCACTATCATGAGAACAGCATGGGAAAGACCACCTCCATTATTCAAGTACCTCTCATCGGGTCCCTCCAAGGGAATTAGGAATTATGGGAACTCCAATTCAAGATGAGATTTGGGTGGGGACACAGTCAAATCATATTGCTGATTTTCTCCTTCCCTAGTATATCAATCCATTAACAGACAAATCTGCTTTTATTTCAATTTTAAAACAAATGAACAAACAAAATCACAACTCCTGACCCCATTGCACTTCCCCCTTTGTTAGCTACCCCTTGGAGCAAACCTGCTCAAAAGTTGTCTATACCTGCTGTCTCCAAATCCTTTCCTCTTAAACCCATGGCAATCATATTTTTACTGTCTCTAACGAAATCTCAATGACATCTAAATTGCAAATGATCAATTCTTAGTTCTTTTCACCCATGATCTAATGGTAGCACTTGACACAACTTATTTATCTTTCCTTGATACATTTTCATCACCTGCCTTCCAAGATACCACACTTGGATACCAAGATACACTGTTCATTTTTCTTCTATTTTACTGTAGTTCCTTCTCAGTCTCCATTTCTGCTTTGTCTTAATGTTGGAGTGCTTGGTCCCCTTCTCTGTCAGTACACACTCCTCCTTGGGGAATTCATCTAGTCTCATGACTTGAATACTGTCTATAACCTGATGATCCCCAGATTAGTACCACTAGACCAGCTTTTCATATACCTCCACATGGATTTCTAACAAGAAAACTCGAACTTAACATGTCCCAAACTGAACTCCTGCTTTTTACCCACAAAACCTTTTCTACTATGATTTCTTCCTTCTTAGCTGACAGAAACTCAATTTTTTCATTTGTTCAAGCCAAAACTGTTGGTGCAATCCTTGACTCCCCCTTTTCTCTTAAGCCTCACACTGAATTCATCAGCTCTGCCTCCAAAATATATTCAGAGTCCCACTATTTTTTTTTTTTTTACCACCATCAGCTATCAAGAGTTTTACTACAGTAGACTCCTAACTGCCCTCTTAGCAGCATCATTCAATCTAATGTTTGTCTTATACAATTAGAATAGAAGGCCTATTATTGAATGCCTTGGTTCTCAAAGTATTGGTCCTGGGCCAGCAATATCTGTATCACCTGGGAACTTGGTAAAAATGCAAATTCTCAGGACTTACCTAAAATTAGAATCTCTGAGGGTGGGATACAGTAGTCTTTTTTAACAAGCCCTCCAGGTGTTTCTGATATATACTGAAGTTTGAGATCCACTAATCTAATGTTATAGTGGGTGACAAAAGGTCTGATAATTTTTTACAATATCAGTTAAGTAGTAAAATCTTAAAAAGAGAAAATACACCTATTTTACACATTTACCTCTAATTAAAACATAGAAATAGAAATAAACATTTACATTTTTATATAGGAGTCAGATATCTTGAATACAGAGGTATTTTTGTGTGTGTGTGTAAATCATCATTTATAATTTCCAAGTTCAATTTCTTTACAATAGCATGAGATCCTAAAAGACATTTACCAAGAAATCTATGAAGGTATCTTTTATGGATCTGTTTGATATTTGCGCTCAATCTTTAAATTTGTGTTGATTATATTTAACTTCATAATTTAAAAGTTCCTTTTATTGAAACTTTCCAAAGAATTTATGTCATTGTTTACATAATGTTTAATTAAGTTAAATAAGTATAATTGCCATAGGCATATTTGGGAATAAACAACAGACTTTTGATAAGCCCACAACTGAGCTTGAGAAAGTATGCAGGCATAATAGAAAGCACTTCAAGCCAGGACAGTCCAACTCGCCATGAGAATCAATCAGTATGTTGAGTAATAGAAGAAAGGTTAATGGTGGTCGCTTTAGAGAGCTTCCTTCGTCATACACTGTTTACACTGACCAATATTTGTTGAATGAATGTTGAATTTTGACTTTCAGTATTTTATGTACTGTATCAAGTATCCTACTTTTTTTGTAGTCTAGATGTAAAAATTCTTGCTATCTCTGACTTAAAATTTTTCTATTTTAGCTTACAATCACAAACATGTACAGGCAATAAAATTACTAAACATATATATATATATATATATATATTTTAAGTTTTCTTACCTGGCATCTTTCTGTTGAAAAGTCAATTGGTTGTCTAATCTCAATGACAGCAGCTGCTTCTGGTGAAGTGCATCATTAAGTTTCTCCTCCAATTCTTCAATCTTAATAAAGAGAAAGAGGTAAATTATATGTAAAATTTTCAAATCTGTCATAAAGAAAAACTTTCAGTTTCCATAGTAAACATATTTTAAAAACACTTAAAAGAAACAGGCTAAAAATGGACAGAGGGACCAGTCACAGGGGACTGTAATTCCAGCACTTTGGGAGGTTAAGGAGTTCAGATCAGCCTGGGTAACAAAGTGAGACCTCATTTCCACAAAACAATTTTTAAAATTAGCTGCATGTGGTGATGTGTGCCGACAGTCTCAACTACTTGGGAGGCTGAGGTGGGAGGATCCCTTGAGCCCAGGAGATTAAGGCTGCAGTGAGCCATAATCTTGCCACTGTACTACAGC